ATCCTAACCAGATGCCCAAACCACCTCAACTGACTCCTCTCGATATGGAGGAGCAGCGGCTCTACTCCGAGTCTCTCCCGAATGTCTGAGCTCCTCACCCTATCCCTAAGGCTGAGCCTAGCCGCCCTGTGGAGAAAACTCATTTCAGCCGCTTGTATCAGTGATCTTGTTCTTTCGTTCATTACCCAAAGCTCATGACCATAGGTGAGGACTGGGCGGTAGATCGATTGGTAAACCGAGAGCCTTGCTTTCTGGCTCAGCTCCTTCTTCGCCACAACAGACCGGTTCAGCGTCCGCATCACTGCAGACGCTGCCCCAATCCATCTGTCGATCTCCTGCTCCCTCCTTCCCACAAAGGAAAAAAAAGAATAGCTACTATGGATACATTTTTGCAGGAGATGTTGAAATTTCCAGAAAAAGGTTATTTAAAAAACATAAACACAGCTATAATATTACTACTTTGTTTGACAATCTGTTGTAGAAACTCGATGCAAATTTTCTATAAAACAAACGGCATTTTAAAAAAATCTGTTTTTCTTCATTGGGGAAGGTCAAAAGAGCCACTTGGGGCTCCAGAGCCACAACCCTGAGTTGAGATATGTTTCCCAGTTCTGTTCCAGTGTCAAGTCATCGTCATAAAACAGCTACACAGTTTGAAGAACATATTAAAATTTGCAGGATTATTGGTCTTAATAGATAAAGTTAATAAAATAACGTTGTTACAGGGGTTAAGGGGGAACCTGAACAAAAATGGTCGGGAAAGGCTTCAAACGGGGAACAGAGTTTAACACCAGCAACACTTAACTACATATCGAAAGTCATTTTAATCTATGTCCATTTCCTTATTTAATAAAAACATCACTAGGTTTGATACATTACCTTTCCAAATTGAGATTTTTACAGGTTAATGACCATTTGATGTTTATTAACAGTGAGGAAATTTCGTTTATTCCAGTGGAAAAACAATACCGCCCTCTAGTGGCATCAGATGAGATTTACAACAACATTGCTGCAAAAACGTGCAGTTACCCTATCTGAGCCGCAGAGTGTAGCACAAAACAACATTTACACATGTTTACGTCCTAATCCCACCTCACTAATCTGACTCTGCTCAGCCAATGACAAATTATTTTTTGTGGGATTGTCAGGCACGAATACCTTGCTAAATGGATTCAGACAAATCCTCACTAGTTGAGATGGTAATTCCTGGCTCATTGTTGGGGGCTGCAAAAATGGCTCCAGTTAAATCACGTTTAAAGCTGGTTTTAGTGTGGATTTCATTCATATTTACACAGGTGGATAATGGCTCTATCTCTAATTCAATACACAAACACTTAGCACCAACATGTGAACAAATGTCTCAGCGCTGTGTTTGGAGAGGAGCATGAAGGGAAGCTGCACTGGGTTTTAAACTCCCACAGAGAGGATGTTCTTTCCCAATTACACACACTGCATTTAATTAAATATCACTGTGCTTGTAGCATTTGCTTAACTACAGAGAAAAGACTTCAGTGAAGACAGAACATTGTTGCATTCTGCAGAAATGTTTGGAGCATTTGTGCACATCAAAATGAAATAAAATTTCAGTATTTTTTGCAGCGGTTGCAAAAAAAAAAAAGCCTTTTCAAGTTAAAATGGTAAAACAAGAAGTGTTTTCTCCTTAAGAATCCCAGATGAATCCCATGCCTGTAAACACACTTTCCTCCTATTTCTCCCACCACCTGCGACTGATTTCCTCTGATAATGAGGTTTTTCTGGATCTGCTCTCACACTCTCAGCGAGGAAACTAAAAAGCAAAGGGGCAGTCTGTTAAAGAGAGGTGGTCAATATGGGAGAAGAAAGACTACAGGTCTCACACGGTGCAGAGCATTTTATGATTCAGATCTATTTGAGAGCCAAGACAGCACTGGACTCATTCTGTTTGTTAGCAACATGACCCCCACTAAAATAAATAAATAAATAAAAAATCATGATGAATGGGGTGAATGCTGATGAATAAGTGTGGTATTTGGTAAAAGGAGAAATCGTAAAGTTCTGGTTTTGCTCTTTTGTTCTTAGAAATGTTTAATGTGCACAAGTGTTTAATCAACACACTAAAGCTATCCTTCAGGTTCTTTTTCAAGTCTTTATAGATTTTTACCTCTTGTTTTAAATAAAGGCTGTTTTCAGACACTTCAGCTTCATATTAAGAAATCTCCTCCCACTTTTCCTGATTTTTTTAAGTTGAGCAATTAGCTGTTGTGTTCAGAAATGAAAAAAAAAATGAGTGAAAGAGTGGCCTAAATCTAAAGGAAAACCCCAAAAAGCTGGGGTCTGGGGTTTTCCTTGATTAATTCATTTGTTTTTCTTCTATTAGTTATTATTTTTGTCATTAGTTTGGGGTATATATCAGTATTCTTTAGATTTGCTTGTAGGATTTTTTAGGACACTTCTATGAGGTGCCATTTCATAAGTCATAAATTAAGAGAAGATTTTGGTTTATTCAACCAATCACATGAAATAGAAACGGGAGTCATATTTTCACCGTGTTATTCATACAATAAAAATGTTAAAGTTTGCAACTAAATATTTAGTTACCAAGCAAAATATTTTATTTACAAACTAAATATTTAAGGCAGACCTAAATATTTAGTTTGTAAACTAAATATTCCACTCCAAATTAAATATTTAGGTTCCAAATGAAATATTTAGATTCCAGCTATATTTATTTTGGAGCTAAACCTTTAGTTTTAGCTGCCCCCAAAATTTTTTGCTGGGATCTACATTTTTAATTATTTAGTTTACAAACTAAACATTTAGGTCAGACCCAAGTATTTAATTTGTAAACTAAATATTTAGTTCCAAATAAAACATTTCTTTTACAAACTAAATGACTGAATGTCTGATCAAAATACTTAGTTTATAAAATAAATATATAACTCTAAATTAAATATTTTACTTGCTAACTAAATATTTAATTGGGAACTTAACATTTATGTATAACAATGTGAAGATATGAAATAGAAAATTAACTCCTATTTTTTCTTCCATGATAACTAAATCACCAAAAAAGCTGAATAGCTAAATAACCTAAAAAACTGCAAATAAATTATAACTGTTTGACTTTACAAATGGCATCCCATACGAATCGTCTCCTGATCACTGATGCCATTCTGTGTTCAGTTGAGTTAATTCGCCCCTGTCAATTTTATACTTTCCCAACTTTTAGACAGTCCCAATAACCGGATTTTTTCGTCAAAATAAAACCAAACGCTGAACCACAATTTGCGTGTAACGTGAAACATCTTTTTAGTCATTTTGCTTATGATAAAACTTGTTCGTGTCACATCCTTTGATCTGAAACCACAATGAAAGCACCCATGTACCAGTGAGGGAACGCTTGAGGAAATGGAATGCAGCCTTTTGATCTTGCTTGCAAATTGAACCAACACATATTTACACTTCTATATCATCATACTCTTTATAATCAAACCACCTGATGTAAAACAGTTGATTTAGAATAAGGGGTGTTTAATCACAAACGTTTAGTTGTGCTTGTATTTTGAAAAGATCAAACGGAAGTTGACGCAAACAGCTGATTAACTTGACCACGGTCGTCTACTTTTTAAAAGTTGGGACGCTGGAGCAGGATGAAGGACTGTGGTGTCACATGGACTTAACTTTCAGAGCTCCTCCTTGCAGTTTTGAAACTTTTCACCAACTTTTCCCAACTCCGCGTTTTCCCGACTTTCTGCGCACCCTGACGCACAGACTTGCGCCTGTAGTTTTGAAACATGCTGCGAACCCCCCACCGTCTCATCTGAAGCCCGCGGCTTTTCCCCTCTGATGTGAAAGTGTGAGCTGCAGAAGGAAATAAGTTATTCTTTTTTTTTTTTTTGACTTTTTATTTCTAAGCTCATCATGACCGAGGAGAGCAGGGCTGAAAGCGGGAAGGACTTGGACAAACAGCTGCGGCTGCGAGCGTGCGTCCTAAACGAACTAATAAAGACTGAACGGGATTATGTTGGGACGCTCGAGTTCCTCTCGGTGAGTGCTGGAAATCGATTTTAAACCGACCAAAACTGCATTTCTTCCCCCTCAACCCGATCCAAACGACCAAAAACAGCCACCTTGCTTAGTATGCATGGTGCATCAACCTGCAGAGCAGGAACCACCACTGCACAAATCCCTGCACGCTGCTGTCTTATGAGGATTTCCATCATTATTATTCCATCTTTAATACTCTGAGAAGCAGGATTATTGGTCTTCTGCTGATCAAGATCTTAACCTTTTACTTTGCAAGTGTGAAATTGGAAGAACAATCACAAAGAGGCGTTACTTAAGCCTCTTCTCATGGCCCGTTTGAGACTCACTGGTTTGTCAGACTTATTAACTTGTCAGTTTTGCCACATTCTTTTAAAACTCATCACAATGGATGAATTTTAGACCCAAAACACCAAAAATGGTTGAAATGGCCATAACATGATTTAGATCAAGACCGTTATTTCTGCATCCACACATCACACAAATCAGTGCATCTCATCAGATCCATGTGTCCTGCCTAAACGCAGCACAGGTGGGCCCAAATGAAAACCACCAGGTCTTGGCACCACTTCTCTAGCCTCGTAGGCTGCAGGAAAACACCTGGTTGTTGCATCACTTGAGTCGCATGCTGTCAGTGCAACGGCTTTGCATAAAGTAGCACCCAAAGAGAGGCGGTTTTGAAGCAGGATGCTGTGAGGTTGCGTTTGCGAACAGCTGTTGCGTAATTATTGGTTTTTTTTGTTTGTTTACTGGTCGCCAGGGTTTGATGGGACATAAGCATTTCAAAGCCAAGGATGAATTGACTGCTGCCACCTTTGTCCAGATGTTTCCATTTGAGGGAGCTGCAGAAGGGACATGTGGAGAAATGAGTGCTGTGGGGATTTGTTCTCTGTCCTGGAGTTGGGGCTTCGGGGGAGAATGCAGCTCCAAGTCCCCTGTTGAGCAGGAACTGGCATTAATTTCAGAGGTGACTGATCCTCTCACAGCCCTTCTGTTCTGGTCAGGAATGTTCAGATGGAAGCATCGGATGGAGATCTAACCATGAAGGACTGGTTTAGCTCTGCAGTGATCTTGATAAGGAAATTAGATTGTGAAGAAACAGAGTCGCTCTTATCTGCTGCTGTATATTCCTGGAGATCCTTGGAAGACATTTAGGATGATCAAAGGGTAGCCCTACTGTGGAGAGGGGTCATGATGAAGACTTTCATCTGATTCAGGCAGCACACACTTCCCTCCCACTAGCTTCCTAAACAAGAACCAGTAACACAAGTTTCAGTAGAGGTCAGAATGGAGGTTCCTCTCGTATGTTTGGCTCCAGGGCCGGTTAATCCTGGAGGATTCCGAGTACCAGCAGAGGGAGAGGCCAGTTATTGCCAGAAGGGGTGAAAAGGGAGAAGCAGATCAGAGAGGAGATAGTGCCAGGAGGGTAAGGGTAATGGCGCAGGTCTCTGCGAGTCGCCGGGCTCGGTGCCGTCTCTTGTAAGCCATATTTCCTGGAGGAGGAATTCCTCTGAGGTTAGGAAACGCTGCAGAACAATGAGGCCCTGGTCAGCTGGCAGAGCTGAACTGAAGAGCAGAGATCGCCTCGGCTTATCTGTGAAACTCGAACACAATACCTCTCCTAATGAACGTCGTATTCAGGTGGTGGAAAACAATGTGATTAGAGAGGTTTTGTCCCGGGACAAGACGGCATATTATGTGCACTTTCTTAGCTTTGTGGGAAAGTATGGAGATTGCATCTTCAAGGTGTTGGCACAGGAAAATGTTGACTTTCGTTTGGATTTGGGTCAATTTTTTTTACACCTAATCAGAATAATTTAGTAGTAAAAGGATTATCTGGTATATCTCCTACATAGTGAACAAATATATCTTAGGGTCACACTGGTGTTTGTCTTGGACCGCTGCGAGCCGGCAGTCAATTTTTAACAGTAGAACAAATCTGGACTTAATGCTAACAGACTCTTTAAGAAGCTTTTCTTTGGTTTCAGCAGCCAAAGGAAGTCGTTTTTCTCAGACTCAACCATTCAGAGAATCACTGAAAGCCATTTGTTCGTTTTTTAAACTCTTAATAGGGCGAATGATAAAAGTTTCAGTGGGGGAAACCTTTCATGTCCTGAATCTGGAGGACGATCCGAGCCACAAGTTAGCTTAATATATTCCTAAGAGCGGTGTAGCACATGAAATGGTCCCTCAGCTGCTCCGACAAAAGCCAGAGTAATGCTAAAAACATTTTTATTCCCCTTTCTTAACCTTAAATTCCTTGTTTCCCTTCCAAACTAACATTACAGGATCATTTTTGATTCCATAATCATGTCCCAGGCTTTATGTGAAACGTGCTGCTTCTTCAGTTGTTGTGTCTGCAAATTCAACAACAGGAAGTTGGAAAATCGGACCTAATGGACAAAACAGGGAAGAGGCATTTATTGGTTCCTTGGGATTTAGGTAGTAAGTCATACCCTGCTTGTGTGTATTTATGTTTGGACGCCTCTCGCCCGCTCTCAGGGTTTGTTTACATCCTGGATGGGTTAATCATTTTATTAGCATCCAATGAGGGGAGAGGTGTTCTGTTTCCTTGTAATATATGAGCTGTCCAGGCTGGGGTCGTGTTGAGGTGGGAAGCCGAGGGGGTTCGTATCCTCTGGACGCAGATGATCCCAAAGGTCACAGCCCCTTGTTCCCATCTTTTTCCTGTCTGTCAAAGGTACGAGCAACATTCGGCTCCCTGTTCTGTTCTGCACCTTGGGCAAAAGGGGTTATTTTTGTGTCAAAGAGACCCAACTTCTTATGCGATCCATGTGACTAAAATGATCATTTTGGGCTCTAATGAGAATGTGTTGTGTACAGTCTGTCTCCGTAATGAGCAGCTTTTATGATATAACAATGATAATACATTTTATTTAGAATGGTAATTTAAAATGCACTTTACATTTACTAAAGAAATCCCAAAGTGCTAAAGTGATATAACTGGTTACACAGAGAAGGGCTCTTCTTTCTGCCTTGATTGCTCTCATCTTCATTCTTTAATTGCTACCTTTCGTAGAACTGATGAGTATGTTGCCTACCTCCATCTTTCCCCCTAATACTCAGCGTCAGTGATAGTTGAGGGGTTCCACTTGCTATCCATAAAGGGGAAAAGTGCAATTACCGGTACTTTATTTAGGAAGGATCTCCATTAAAATGCCTTGCTTTCCATCCGTCCGTCCATCCATCCGTTTTTCTCTGTTTTTCTGGGGTCGGGTCGTGGGGGCAGCAGCCTAAAGCCTGGTTTATGCTTCTCCGTCAGCTCCGCAAGGGACAGACACGCACGGATTGACGGAAGCGTTTTGCTTTCATACTTCTCCGTCTCCTGGAGAGTGTTGCAAAGCAATTCCCCGGCAGGACAACAGAGGGCGTAGCGCTGCAGTGTCTCCAGGAACGGTGCACCCAAAAAAAAAAAGAAAAAAAAGTATCGGTCCAAGATCGTGTGTTTATATTGTGTTTTTTGTGTATATAAGAGACTTTTAACATGGACGTATTTGTCTCTCATTCTCCTCCACCTCTTCATGCGCTCCCCACCTCTAAACCCACGTTTCCTGTCATTTCCGTCCACAAATAAAACGCTTGCTGCGCATCTTTTCACTCCTCCAGTCACGGGAGAATTAAACGTAAATAGTTTTAGAGTTTTTTCGCGAGGTATTCTTCAAGCTTCTCCGTGTTTGCCGCTAGTTTTCCTCGGCTCTCTTTGCAATGGCGGCGCTGTAAACAACAGCGGCGTCCTGACCAATCACAAGCTTGTGTAATCCGTTTCGTTCGACGGATGTTTAAAAAAGTGGGCTTGACTCCGTACGTACTTGCGTGTGCTCTGCACTGACGCAGACGAAGAAGCATAAATCAGGCTTAAGCAGGGAGGCAAAGACTTCCCTCTCCCCAACCACTTGAGCCAGCTCCCCCAGAGGAATCCCAAGGCATTCCAAGGTCAGCTGGGTAACATATGGCGCTTACACATTAGCGTCAGCACGGCCCCAAAAGGTACCGAACGACACCAGAATTTGGCTTCACACACAGGTCAGATTTGCGTTTTCGGTACCGAGGCGACTCTTTTTCTCAGACCTTCTCCCCAGCGGTCAGACTGGGACCGAGGCGACACTACGGACGGATTGGCCGGCTGAAATTACGCCTACCGCCTTCGATCTGCCAGAAGAATCAGCCAGCGGGAGGGTTCCCACATGCGTGGTTCATTTTCATGCTGGATGCTGTTGAGTAAACTCCTGTCTGTAGCACGGAGCTGCCGTTCGGGAGCTGCCGATGGGAACGGGAGAAGAGAATAGCTCTGTGTGTGTGCATGCGCCTGTTCTCCGCATTGGCGCTCTTGCTCCGGCGAGCAGACGGCTGCTCAGGGGAGAAATCAGTGTGTGTGTGGCACAAGATTATGAGGACATACACAGCAAATTAATAAAAGAATGTGGTTCAGACTCTCCAAAAGCAACACAGCTCATGCCTGCCTTTCTTAACCTTATAATGGAGGATACCACAGACTTTCCCGCGCGTATTAAACGCCGCCCACAGGCTCAGGGATTACCGCATTCCTGAGAAGTCCTTCGGATTTCTAAGTGAACACTACACCACCCGTTCAAGACCGAACTCACGCCACCCAGCCCGACCAAACCCTGACCGTGCCAACGCTAATGTGTAAGCGCCAATAGTCCCTCCAGCGTGTCCTGGTCTTCCCTTGGGTGTCCTCTCGTTTGGACGTACCCAGAAAACCTCACCAGGAGGCATCTTAACTGGATGCCCAAGCCACCTCAACTGGCTCCTCTCAACATGGAGGAGCAGCAGGTCTACTCTGAGCCCCTCCCGGATGACCAAGCTTCTCACCGTATCTCTAAAGCCTGGGACACATGGAAGACAGATGCGCCGCGCCCGCATCATTTAAAAAAAGAAGCCATTATAGTTACTGAGAGTGGCTACACGGGGAGCACACAGTGCCAAAGATGACGTTACAAAAACAAGACCAGACAAGACGGCTTTATTTATATAACACATTTCCTACACAGAGGCAGCTCTATGTGCTTTACAGCAGTAAAAACAGGGACTTCCTCCAATGATGCCAATACCACATCTTTCCATGGGGATGTTATTGCAGTGGTCATGCTGATTTGTGCTCTTGAACAAACAGGACTGAGAAAAAAATGGTAATTTCATTGCCTATTTTGTGGCTGATTGCAGTTTTGAAAAGCTATTTCCTATTCCTTTCTCCGCCGTAGCTTCATTACGATGCCTCTTTAGCTATAGAGCTGCATAGTGGAATCTCGAACTCTCATTAAGGCCAAGGTTAATGAAAAGCTGTCTTAATTCAGTCATCTTCCAGGTGTAGAGAAACACACATTTGTTTGCACAGGTGAGAGGAGAGCAAGGTGAAATGTTATTTTTCTTTAAATGTTTTATTTTATTTTATTGGATTAGCTCTCTGTGAAAGCAGACAGATTTATGTAAGGCTGTCCTCCTTGTGAGACCCCTGAACTGATGAAGTGGCACACTTGCATTTTAATTTCACACCTCCACACTAGTGGTCTGCATTTTTATAATGTCTTTCAAGGGCCACTTCTGCGCTACGGTCTTTTTTTATGGATTTTCTTACTTGTTCATCGGACATGAGCGAATGATTCACTGCTGAGTTCACATAAGCAATACCATCAAATGCATTCTGCTGTAGATGTTTGCATAAACAGCATCAGGATTGTTTTTTAAAGGTAAATCTCCTAGAAACCTGAAGATGGATGAGGGTGAGAATAAGCTGTAACTGAGCCTCTCTTGCAAACCTTTCTGCATCAGCTCTGAGTCCCACGCCAGTCATAGATATTGGATAATCCCTCATCTACCCATTGAGCATTGCTGCATTGGGAGATAATATTTTACCACTGGTCAATATTGAGTAAAATCGTATGGTTTAGTTGCAGAAAGGTTTTGTCAGAAATCCGACCATTAACAACGGTATGAACTCGTCACCTTTTCTTTGTCCTGTCCAGTAGATCCTCACAGTGGAAGAAGTGCTTTAGTTTTCATCTCACAAGCCATTTTTTTAAGCAGGATTTCCTTCCTTCCTTCCTGAACCTCCCCGTCTTTACATTGTGCTGCATGCTTCCTGCCCGAAAACCCACTTGCACCCTCTCAACACCCACTCCACTCTGTCCACTTTGCTATGGAATGCTGTGTCATGCTACAGATGCCATCTAGTCCACTAATAAAGCTTCTTGGCATTTTGTGACAAGGCCCTTTGCTGAGCCTGAGTGCGGTTTTAGCTCAGCCTTTGATTTGCTCCGATTCAGGTGCCTTGTCACATGCACGTGACAAGTAGAATGGTGGCAGGGCTGTAGTGAACTCTTGCCAGGATGTTCATAAGGTATGAAGGGGTCATCAGCAAAAGGGGCGGAGTGTTTTCCTCATTTGCATTTACGCTGTTTCATAGATTTGTGTGTCGGCATAGCAACAATTGTACACAGTTCAGCCATTTTCTTTTGACTTTGCAAGGTCGGGTTGTGGATAACAGTTCCAGGAGGGAAGCCAAGACATTCTAGCCTAGAAATCTAAAGTAGCGAAACGATTTAGCTCTGTAGGTTGGTCTAGCCACGCTCCATTGTAGCCCCAGTAGGTCTACCATTGGCTCAAACAGTTTTGGGTCTTGCCAATTCCAGTGCACTACGTTTGTTGGCTAGGCTTTATATAATAGCTGCAACGGAGAAAACTACAAAAATGGTGCCAGCTCAGGAACAGCTTTGCTTGAAATGGCTTTAGCATCAACTTTGGATGATTTAAACTTGGGCTTTTCTTTGAGACATGTAGATAGAGGTGCTTAAGTCATTTATTTTGAAAAATGATGTATTTGTTGCTTCTTCTGTATGGCAGACTGCCCAGTTGACTGATCGCCATAGTGATGAATACAACATGTTGTTGCTCTGATTGCTCCTAGTGCTGTCCAATTGCATGCAACGACAGTTTGAAAGACAGCCCAGGGTTTCCCCCCAGCGCTTTATAAGCCTGGCGGCCCACCAGGCTTTGCTTGCCCACACGCCAGGCTAAGCGTCATGCCCCGCCCCCTCCCCGACAAAAAACGTGTTCGCTGACACGAATGGCGCAGCAAAACTAGAGCCCTCCATCAGCTGATACTGGTGATAAACAGCAGCGGAACATGTGCAACCCCCCCACCCCCCGCTTTTACAGAGAAGCAACACCCCCCCCAGCTTTCTCACGGAGGAGCACTGCGGGACAGAACGCAACCCCCTCTCCTCGACGGCCGAAGCCGCCAGGCTTAACTCTTTTTCTGGGGGAAACCCTGCAACCGTAGAATCTGCCCAACAACCGAGCTCTGTTTATGGGTCGTGGCCAGACTATATATTTAAATGTATAGGATGGTGTAGCGTAGACAATCGATGATTTTTATTTGTTATGGCCAGGAATATGTAATATTTTATGTAAATATAAAATACTAACCTGCTAGGCCTTTATTGTAATTATTCAGAAGATTCCAGGATTTCATTCAGAAGATCTAAGTTCTTTGCTTTTTCAGTGATCAACCACACTTCCTGTTACTTCAAGAAAGAGTCAGGTTTATAAAAGTAAATTTATTTTACAAACAATTAAAACATGACCAATTACCTAAGCATTTACTGTGAGTGGATGTAACTAAACCTCATGAAGGAACCTATGTGTGAGTGCGATGCCAGT